AGAAGTGACACGTTCTATCCAGACGCGTCATACACGCGTCCATTGAACGCGTGTCGGCAAATCCCGGGCAAGCATTTCTGGCCTGTGTGGCGTCAGGCGCATTTTTCTCGCTCGGTACCACTCCTTAAATCTCGGAATAAATGGAATAAATTGTTTCGATGGTATGAAAACACGTTCTCTGACCCCAATTTTCTATTTTATCCGTTCATCATACTGTAACTGTCATTTCTGGCCCTCCAGAGACCACAGTTCATGTGTTTCAGTAACTGGATGGAAAGGGGAGCTTACCTTGGTGGCGGGCACTCCCGATACCCCACTTCCACTGTATGTCGCGATTCTTTCTCGGGACGAGAACATGGCGAAGATGGCGGTGAATGAGCGCTCTCGACAGGTGACGTCAGTTCGATCGCTTTGTCCCCGGGACGCGTTCTCCTTTGTTGTCGTCCCTATTGTTGTCAGTTCAGATATAACCTGCTCGCCCTCGTTCGAGCACTACGTGACAGTCAACACCGTCACTCCATCTCTGCCGTGGTCAATTTTCCCGGAGCTTGTCCCCCGGGGTCTCGGGGTCTCTCCCCCGCTCGTGGGTCGACGTCGAACCAGTAATCACGCGCGCCTCTCCTCTGCTGTCGCGCTTGTCGTACCCCGCCGGGCGCTCACCATCTTCCGGAATTCTACGCGGGATCCTGGAAGCACGTGAGCGCCGAGTGGCCGATGGACTCTGGTGGGTAGGAGGTTCTGTATGTCTCTGGTTGCATATGCGGGGTCTCCATTGGTATGTCTGGCTGACACCCCCTCGATGCTCGAGGTGCGAAGACCGACCCCCATGGGTACGTGTATGGATTTTCTCTCGGTCCCTATCACCCGATGGAGCACGAATGCAATAGGATGTTCCCCCGAATGCAGCATCGGGTGGCACGGACACATCTCGCGACGACCATTCGTGCACGCATCCCCCCACGTACCATTGCCAGCACGTCGTTATGCAGACTAGCAGTTTTGGGCGGGCGCTTGGTTGCAGGACGCGCACAGGCGTGCTGTCAATGGGTGTGTTGGTGCGACTCCATGAGGGGGCAGGGACAGGTCCTCGATGCTCTGGACGGTTGCTCCTGACTATGGGAGCGCTCGTCGCCCCGCCGTCCTTGCGCTCCAGTTTTAGTAGTAGTGAGTTGAACACACGTCTCCCCTCAACCTCTATTGAACTGACAACGTCCTTTCCCGTGGGGTGGCGGTGTCTCCTGACTCCCATGGTATGCGCAAGGAGGTGCTCCGTGCTATTACCTGACGACGAGAACTAGGGACGCGACCGCCTCTCCTTCTCTCAGGTATCGCGGCAAGCCGTCCCGGGCGAAAACACGCCGGCATCCTGCTCATCCTCACGCTCCATACCCCAGGCTGGTTTATTCGAGTTGCGATATAACCCCGGGCGAGTGGGCACACTGGCGCGACCCCGCCGTGTTCCTCCAATGCACAGCGCATGCCGGTGTGCGGTGCTGGGAATACGGTACGGTCGCGCGCCCAGGCCCTGGTTCGCGAGCGTCCGCATCGTTCGACCTCTTTTCTTCGACTTCGGAAGTAGTCGCAGGGGCGGTGGGTGTGTGCTTTTCTTGAAGACTTTCTGTATGCGTGACTGGTATCCGAGCGCATTTGTCCGTCGTCGGATCGGATCGCACCTCTCATTGGAAATCGGTGTGCGGTGTGCGGTGTTCCCGATACGGTGCCGTAGCGCGGAAGGGCGTCTCCCGTCCGTGGATGAGGTCGCGGTGCAAATAAATACAGGAGACTCGAGCAGTGTCCACGCCGTCCCGCCTTGGAGTAGCTGGTGTCTCTAGCATTCAACGGCCGGGGGAGGGGTACGTACGCATTTTCCGTCCAATCTCTGTCTTCCCGCAGGTTGGTTGGTTCGGGCTGTCACTCGGCGCGTCCCTGTCGGCGGGCTGGTCCCCCGAAGGACACGGTTCTGACCCGGAGCTTCTTGAATGGACAGACTTACCCTCGATGGTCGATATCTACTTGCTCCAACTACCTAATCACCTTGGGCAGCTAGGTGCGCCCGCTCACTCTCTTCACGTCCTCCAATCCCCAAGCTTTAGTCACGGATTCGAATATGCACGCGCCGTGCCCACCAGCTTACAAGGACGAGAAACCCAGCCCTCGCCGCCTGTTCCTCTGCTGTACGCTACCATGGACGCGCGCGCCAAATTGCACGGCAGGCATTAACACTTGATACTCCGATACGCGCATTGTATGCGTAAGTGCACTCACCCCAGCCGATCCGAGCAGCACGATACGGTAGCAATCACTGGTAGTCGAGCGTCTGGCGTCGGGGCGCGGGAGACTCCGAGATGTGATCATAACACTGCGTCCCCCCGCCGCCGAGAGCCCGGATCACCGCGCGGACGGGTCGGGCGGGGGGTCTTTTCGGTTGGGAGAGAGAGAGGGGGGGCACGGGCACGGGCTTCGGGTGCTTGTGGTGAGCCAGAGCGGATGGCAGTGTCTGGGGAGAACAGACGGACGCACCGATGCGGCGGGGGAGAAGGGAGAAGGGAGAAGGGTGCGAAGTGTGTGCGGAGAGGATGGTGTCGAGCGCGCGGGCGCCAGGACAGAGCACGAAGAAATCGGAGCGACATTCCAGCGTCGCGCGGTGTCTCCTCGTGCTTCGTCCTGCCAATGCTGCTACCCTTGATTCAGAGACAAGGAGGGAATTGTCTATGTCAGGGTGGAAGGGATCAGGAGTGGCTAGCTAAAGCCTGGGACGTGCATAGCCAGCTGATGGAGGGGGACCATGGAAAGCATCTACGTGGGGGGACCATGGAAAGCATCTACATGGGGGGACCACAGAAAGCATCTACGTGGGGGGACCACAGAAAGCATCTACGTGGGGGGTATACCATAGGGAATGAAAGGGTATCTCCTAATCCAACAACCAATAACCCAGAAGAAAGTAGAGAATAGCATGACATGAATCGACGCGTCAGGTTTGCGGCTCTTGCACCTTGCGCGCGGGGACGAGCATCTTGCCGAGCAGCGCCCCCGCATCGACGTTCGCGTCCAGCGCGCTCGTGCGGATCTTGAGGCCCGTCAGCCCGCGGATCCTCAAAAACTGCTCTCATCAGCGCGCCTGCCCTCTCCCCACACAAGGACGACATGGATACTCACAGTCTCGCTGCGCACGATGGGCGCGGCGGCGCCCTCGGGCTGGTCGAGCACGTGGAGCTGCTCGAGCGTGCCCAGGGCGTTGAGCGTGTCCCACACATCGCCGGCGCCGTGCAGCGCGGGCGGGGGCGCGCGCAGCCAGCGGAAGTGGGCGAGCGCGGGCATGGCGCGGATGGCGGATATGAGGAGGCGCTCGGCGTGCCCCTCCTGCCCGTGCCCCTCCGCTGCCGTACATGCGAATGGCGGAATCCGCTCGGCGAGCTCGAGGTCCGCCGCGTACGCCCTGTCGAGATCGCCCGCGCGCTCCGGGAGGACGGTGAGCGAGCGCACACGCGCGCCGCCCGCGCGCGCGAGCCGCGCCCAGACGCGCGTGTGCGAGAGCTTCGCGCGGACGACGCGGTGCGAGAGGTGCGGGGCGCTGAGCGCGGCGAGCGACGCGCAGGTGAGCGCGAGGGCGGCGAGGTCGGCGGGGGCGGGGAGGTGGTCGAGGATGGCGTCGAGGAGCTCGGGCGGGAGGGCGAGGAGGGGCATGGGCGGGGGTGAGGTTGGCACAGACTGGGAGGCGGGGGTTATATAGATAGGCTGCCGCCGGGAAGTGTGCCAGCTGGCAGCGGACGTAATTCTCGGGCGGGTATCGTTATCGGGTTCCGCGTCCGACGCTTGGCCGTTCTCCGTGTGCTGGCCGTGGCGGTCAGAAAGTCGCGCCCGCTGGCAGCTGGGCTACGTAGCCCTGTAGCCCGTAGCCCGAAGCCCTGGCAAAGCCCGGGCTATCGACATTTCGTAGCCCTGTAGCCCCAATGTAGCCCTGCGCTGGCGTGGCTGGCTTGTGGCCCGCCTGGCTGCTCGTCTCCGATGGAGCCGCCGAGAGCTCCGAAGCTCACGCCGGGGAACGTGTCTAAAATAGGTTGCTGTGGCAGGTATAAAGCCTGGTCTCCTCCTCCCTTCTTCCCCTCCCGCCCGAGCATACGTTTATGTACTTGTGTTATGCCATTATAATAATTCTGAATGCACCCCATATGTACTAAGTTGAAATCATGGCAATAACTGCCAGCTCAAAACAGACTCAATGCTTAGCCTACACAGAAAGGTCGGGCAGTGCATTAAGACATCCCTGGTAGGCTGCGGCTGTCATTCAAGTTGGAATACGCTTATCGACCGTTCTCGGGTTCCCTTGACCGCAGGAGGGGGCTTGTGAAGTGTTTGTATTGCGTGCTGTTATGCAGATATCGTCCCGACAACAGCACAAAGCACCGACAATACTGCATATGACCATTCTTTCCGAGTACACGTGTAGCGCTCGCCGCTTTGGCTCTTGCGAGCGTACATATCCCGCCTTCCGACTGACATACTGTACAGTACCCACCTGCAGTCTTACGGCACAATGTTCCACTAAACAGAGCCTAGAGGTCGCAGTCCACATGCGCGTGACACGCGTAGCATCGTGGCCGCGCGCGGCCCATCTTACTTATGATCAGACTGTATTGCCATCACTATGTACACTGCACACTAAGTACTGTACGTCTACGAGAGAATGGGAGGCATTAGCGTTGCACCGCAAGCAGAGAGTATATATACGCTTCGGAGGTCGACTCCCTCCAAGGCATCACGTAGCCCGGGGCTACCGACCGGCCGATTCCTGCCCGCGTAGCCCTGTAGCCCAGCTCGACTCGAGCACAACAATCGGTAGCCCGGGGCTACGGGCTACAGGGCTACGTAGCCCACCAGCCAACGCGCGCGACGTTCTCGTGGCGGTGCGGTGTAAGCGGGCGTGGGCGTCGTGGGCATCGTCATCGAGGACGAGGTTGGCGGCGTGCATGGCGAGTTCCGCTTGAGGTCGAGGAGGCGGGAGGGCGTTCGGGAATTGCCGTTTAGAGGTTGTTCCGAATCTTCGCCGGTCAACAGCCTCGTAACTAGAGCTCAGTGAAATACCCTGAGTCCTTGGCAGTGGTTAATAACAAGCTGTAATTAACAGGTTAATTACTTGTCAATATCTCAGGGTCGGATTTCCCTTGGTTAATTACCCTGAACCGGGTATTCGGGACATGGTTGTCCAAGGAGACTCTCATCAGGAAAAAGGGACATAGATATATTGCTCTATATTGCCAAAGTAGTCAAAGTAGCCATGTAGTTACCCCCTGATTATGTAGTTCTCTATAGTAAATGGTAAGCAACCTAGAACTACCGAGAGCTACATGAAGCACTGCCCACTATGTAGCCACAGTAGCCACATTGCGATATAGCACTGGTCGTGTTATGGATTATGATGTAGTGCCGGCGGCGGCATAGACCCAGATTGCCATCGTGTGATATTGGACCATATAGACGAGGTAGTAGTGAGCTACAATGCTACAGATAATTTGTATAATTTTGTATAATTCTCTTCTCCGATCAGGCTTCGTTTAGACTAGTACTCGTTCATAATCTCACTCCATTATCGTATGTTAGTAACTGTGAATTGGAGGCTCAGTATGTAGCTATCTACGCGAAGTCATTAGCCTCCTCCTCCTCAGAGGTCCCTTCATACAGCCCTCCATGCTCCTTGAAGTCCTGGATGGCCGCAGCCACAGCATCCGCCGGCAAAGAGCCTCTCCGACCCTCCTTACGCACATCGACACGGGCGTGGAATCTGTATTGGTTTGCTCAGTAGTCAATCACTCTCAAGATCACATGATACATACCTTCCATTCTCAATGAGAGCCGACTACACGCTCGAGAGTAGCTCTCCTCCACCCTCTTTCTCGAAGTCATACAGCATCTTCAGGATTTCATTGTAGCGTTCTTCATAGTTTTCAGAGCTGAAGGTGATGGAGCGCCACATACCGGTCTTCCATTCCTCGATGGAAGACTCGACCTTCAAATACTCAGCAAAGCTAAGATGGCTAGAAGCAAACACATACCGCTGTGAAGATTATGGCAAGGGCCCGGAGCGACGGTGTCTCGAAATATTCTGCATACCTAACTCCATCGTCGTTCGGGCTCTTGAACCACATTCTGTTGACAATCTTCTGGATTATCTTATGTTGTAGAAAGCCCTTCCTGGCCCCGCGGTACTGTTATGCACGGTGAGACATAAGATTCGGGTTTGGAATAAGGAGAGGCTTACTCGGTACAAGTAATTATAATCCTCAAGCAACTGCTCAGCCAGTCTATGGTTGGGTGCAATTATGGAATCCTTCTGACTGCTTTCAAACCCGTACATATCCACCAGAGATTTGTTCCTCGTCTTCAGCTCTCCACGGACATGAGAATCACGCGCCATTATCTAGGCGACATAGACAGTTACTTAGTACAGTTAATCACACTGTAATACTAAGAATAGACGTACCAGTTTAAGTTGGCGCACATCTACAGGCATGTCAGCTTCAAGTGCCTGACATGCATCATACCATGAATCTTTTGCCATGCTCGCAAGTTCAACTCGTCTGGATGAATTGAAAGGAAATTGAGTGATGACGAGACATTCAAAGCGTCAGATAGCTTCCACGATGATATCATGGACCTCTGCATCATAATCAGAAAGCTTCGGGTGGTCGCGACGCGAGGGAGCTACACGACCAGGCAGCAGTCCACCACGCACCAGATGTTCATCACCGCTTTCCTTGTGCTCGTCTAGCTCCCCCTCAATCTCGTCACTGGAAGCCATTCCCATGTCACCATCCTCCCTATCTTCAAGACGATCCTGCTCATCGATCTGGCTACAAGCTGGCGTAAGGTTGTGGTTCTGGGGCCAGTGATCGTCCACCGGATCGCAAGGAGTCCTCAATCGCTTTCGCGAGGTATGGGGAAGCGGGTCCTGGTCACGAGGAGAGAGAGACTGGGTCCATTTTCGTGATTGGCTCGCAGGAATATCTGATGAACTAGGATACTGACTTCCTGTTGTGTTACTTGAGAACAAGGGTATGGAAATATTGAGGTGGAACATCCATACCGTGCTGTGCCTCAGGCTCATTCTCACTGCTTTGAGCCGAACCCCATACCCCTCTCTGCCAAGCTTCAGGCTCACTCGCAGGAATACGCGGTATATTTGAGGACCGTTGTACCAGAGACTTGTTAAGCAGCTGAATCACAGCCTTTGTCATGAACTGGAGACTGGATGTAAGTATCACAAAGAAGTGACGAGCAGATGACAGCTCGACGTACCGCTGATATGCACTGACACACAACAATCACCAAGGACCAAAAGAAATAAACCTAAACCCCGTGATATGGGTGAAGGCGGTCCGAGACAACTGAAGGGTATTTAATAGTTCGAGGGGGAAAGGAGGAGTGAGACGCCGTAGGGTAGTCCGTAGGAAGACCTAGAAAAATAAAACAAAAACCTTGACGCCTGAAACAAACACTAAGGGACGCTCCGGAGTATTTATCTCCGGAAAGTCGCAAACAAAGTCGCAAACCACGGAACCGAGTGTAGGTCCGGGCTTACGGGAGTAGAAGGCGCTAGAAAGAGTTGCTCAATTTTGTTTCGCTATGTGAACCTCACCGGAACTAGTAAAATCGATGGCGGAGATATTTCTCTCGACGAGTCAGGCCTATTGGCAAAGCTAGGATCGGTTATAAGTGGCTAAGTTCGACGCTTTCGAACTTCTCGGGTCGCTGAGATCGTAACGTTAATTCTCTGAGATGGTGAAGTCAAAGAACTTGTTTTTCTGTATGCTACTTTGTACAATTTATACTACAGGAATGGCTTTGCGACCATTCGGAGATAAATAACAAATAAACGCCGCTACCCACAGGATTGCTCAGCACTTTCCTCCGCTATACCATACACCATATGACTCTCTTGCAGTCCCACTTGCTCTTTCCAGCCCCTATAGGTTGCCTCGACGCTCCGCCACCTGACCCAAGCGGTCCCATCACTCCGTGCGACACGCCGGTCACGTGTTAATTACCTCCGGCCGTTTGCTGACTGATGCTGACCTTATGGTGACTCGTATGCGTCCGCACCTTCGGTATCTTGACGGAAACGAGGGGGAGTGAGTGCTGGAGGGTGGGCATGAGGAAGACGCCCCTCGATAGAAGTGTCCGCGGGTCCCGGAGCTAATGCAGCTAGAAGTCGCATTGGTTAAGTCACTCCGGAGCTTCGGTGCGCGGAGATAAATCGCGGAATGGGTCCGTGTACGCCTCGAGGAGGTTAGGAAGTCCGGAGCTAAATAGAAAAAGTCTTTTAGAGCCCATAGAAGCCTAGAGGCGTGCGAGCGCTGTGTCGAATAAGCTCCGGGGCGCTTGTATGATGTGCTGAATCCGCGTTTTCGGGGGTCAGACGATCCTGAGGCTTATCACCGCATCGTCTGCAATGGGGTTGGTTGCAACATCACCATCTAACATTTCATCTGCGGAATGGTCACCGCCCCGGTTAATTTCGCGCTGACGTATTTCTTCCGCTTTGCGGAGTTTCTGCGCGTGATGCTCCTTGTCGCGCTCTTCCCTCTGTTGACGCTCAGCATTTCGTTTCGCAACAGCATCCTCTATCTCTACTACAGGCTGTGTATCAGTAACGTACTCCCATGATATCCAAGTTGCACACACCTTGTAAGCTGGCTCGCTCTATTGCATGTTGTACCCGGCCATGTGAAGTCGAAGGCAACTCAATGTGCCTAACAGGCTGGACTGCTTCGGGAAATGGTTGCCTTTTAGCAGACCCGCCGTGCGTTGGCCGGCGGGCGGTAGACTTCGCAGTGGGCTTCTTGCTCGCAGGCTTCACCATGGTGTACAACGTGACCACAAATTAGGTGTATGACAAGAACACAGAAAGAACCAGACTCTCAGCGTGATGTTGTGTAAGACAAACTGGATGCACGTACGTATAATTATAAGTGGCTCGCTGAATCGAACATCATGGAATCAACTGGAAATGCCTTGAGCTCGGTACCGCTGGTTGCGATGATGCAGCAGAAGCTAAGCAACAGGCCCGGGCTGGATTCTTTCAACAAACGTGAGCGTGTCTCGCATCACGTGTCAATCCAATTTCACTGTCTAAGTCCAACCATATGTACCAGATTGTCTTGATTACTATGGCTCTGTCTGTGATCTTCTGCTGCGGGTACTGTAAGAAACAACTTCCAACCCGACCTGGCATCCAATGACACATCGCAAATATGCCGCAATGTTTTCGATGCTGGCAGCGCGAGATCATGAGACGAACTGTGAATGTGTTTGATCAGTACGACACCCCGCCAATTAACGAGGACAAACTTACAGACACTTCATCGGAAACCAACTATCCTGTTCCTGACAACGAGGAGATTCTCTCTGTAGGAAAACGTCAGTACAGTATGTAGCTATCACACACCGGGGCTAAGTGAACCCTCGTCGTATTGCGAACAGATACACGAGTACAGGAGTATTCCTTAGAGTAGAAGGTAGTAGTTGTCTGCTAAGCTACGTATATCCAAACTTCCTTCTAAGTCGCGTCGCGACCAAACATACTCAAACACGCGCCACATGGGCGCTTCCCCTTACATCCTCCCCTCTTAGAGCGAGGGCACGGTAATCACTGGGGCCGAAGAGACAATCATATTCAACGAGTGTAGAGGTTGGGTATAATAGCACTAGGTGCTTGAATATTACAATGACCGCTCAGTCATAATTATGCCATATTAAGCTAACGTCCGAGTAATCGGGAAAGCAACAAGAAAGCAATCGGAATGCGAGACAAGACGATAGCGATGACGATGATAATATACAGTCCGCGCGGGCGACCAAGAAACGGTAGCATACACCATGACGAGGAACTCTCCCTCAAGCCAACGGGTCATGGGGGAGCAGCAGCCGCGGCTCGCGGGCTACAGCGAGCTGGGTGGCCATGTCCAGCCACTCGCCCTCAGACGGAAACCCGCAGTCAGCCAAGTGCCTCATAATGGCGGTATCCGCCTCATACCCACCAAGATAGCTGGTGGTCTTGTGCTCCTCCTCGATGGGGTATGCGCTTTCCTCGACGAACGCGGTATAGCGTCGCGTTCGCAGAAGATAGAGTACGCGACTGACGAATCCCTCACGGTTCGTCTGCTGAGACCCTATGCATGCCAGCCACTTCCACACCCGGATGCGGCGCTTCGTCTCCTCCTCGCTC